AGGCCTATATGTGTATATATAATTGCTTTCCGCTGTTATATATTGTTAGGGGCCTATATTATACGATTAAAGCTTCTCCCTATTTATAAACTGTAATTATTTATCCTATTTTATTATACATCTTCAAATATCTATTTTTAGTTGATTAGTTTCATTATTTGTTTCATTAGTTTCATCATTCGTTACTCAAGTCTTGTTAACCATTTGTTTTTCGTATATTGTTTGTTCTGGCTTGTCTTTGGATATTTATGTACCTGTATCTTAATGTCGAAATTAATAAAATTAAATAAAATGAAAACTGTATTTTAAGGCTTATTTACCTCTAATTGAGAGCTGCTAATGTATTTCGTGCCGTCTGTGTCATATTTCTGCCACACCTATCAAGACATAAAAGAGTGTTTAAACATTATACAATCAAAAAGGCTATAGGGCTTAACATGTTAGCTCAACCATTCTGTGGTGAATCCAAAGGCCAGTAGAGTATGAATCAATGGTCAATGGTCATATATTTTTGAATGCAAGTCAACTCGGCCCCAAGTCAACTCGGCCCCATGTCAACTCGGCCCCAAGTCAACTCGGCTCCATGTCAACTCGGCCCCAAGTCAACTCGGCCCCATGTCAATTGGGTTAACTGAAAAAAGCAAAAGAAAGAAAAGAAAAATGAAAATTTATCATTATTCATCAATATTTTTTAATTTTTTATTTGTATAATTAGCTAAGCCTGTTGACGCAAATAAGCTTGCCTGGGAATATTAGGGCAAAGTTGACTTCTTGGGGCCGAGTTGATTTGGGGTCGAGTTGACTTGTGGCCAAGTTGACTTGGGGCCGAGTTGACTTTGGGCCGAGTTGACTTGGGGCCGAGTTGACTTGGGGCCGAGTTGACCTGTTCCCATAGGCCTATATTTATATATCACCTTCCATAGAGAAAAACTGTCTCAAATGAATCCATTTCATTTTAACGTGTCTGAGGTCGCAATTTTTGGTATATCACCAATATCGTATTTTATTTAGACGGTCAGAGATCTACAAAATACACATTATGCGTATTTGTTCAGAGGCGCCGAAAGTATACCATAATCAGATGGTAAATGTAAAACCTACGTATATTGAAAAGATAATAACAAATTAGGCATAGAGTAGTGATATTCCTGATACAGTGATTCGTATATGTAGATCTTTTAGTATAGTCACATGATATGTGTGTAATGTTTAGCCTGCGAAAGATAGAGATGTGAATACATTCACCTTAAGCAGTGTTGTCATTGTTCGGTCTCCCACACGGCTCCGATCTTCACATATGCATAGAGCCATATGAAAAAGCATTAACAGGCTAATTTACTCTGATTATTTTGAGTATGACTCACCTTCATAAGCTCTACACTTGAAACGAGCTGTTCCTCTCGGTGGAAAAGAAGCAAGAAATTTTCATCTGTTCGAAGTATATTAGCAAGCTGCAAGATATAATGATTGTTTGTATTACATTATTACGATAGAGTTATTTCTTGCCAAGGGCTCTGATATCTTCTTCATCACCATCATCATTATCACCATCATCATTATCACCACCATTATAAATCATGTCTTCATCAAAATCACCATTATCATCATAATCATCACAAGCATTATCATCATCTCCGCCATCTTATTTATTGCAATATAATGCAGATAGCACACAAAAAATAGAGGGGAAAATTGAGACATAATCGTATGTATAAATAAATTAAGATAAAAACATTATCAAACAGCACAATTCTTTTGTTCTCAAAAAATGTTCTACGGTAAAATATATCAATTAGGCCACAGAACATGTTAATAAAATTACATTGTTCTGTAATGATTAGCTCGTACACTGAAATGTTTTTTCATTGCTTCTAATCTTTGTTTCAAATATTATTTAACATGACATGAATTCTTATCAAAAAATTCTTTCAGAAAATTAATACTGAAATCCTATTAATGACATAAATTTGATTCAGAGCGTTTAAAGATTGTTGAATTGTTTACCGATTGAAGGTAATACTCCATAAAATTACTGTCGGGAAGGCCAGGGAATGCTGATGATTTTCGTATTTAGGCCGCATGCTTGTGATTTTGAAATCAAAGGTGCGTTGAATTGTAATTGATAATTAAATTTGGTAATTGGGAACGTGTAGACACTAGTCAGAATTAATTAACAGGCATATGTTTATAAGTGACGTAACTGTGGTGAGAAATGGAGAGCTTTCGATTGCACGACGACGGTAGGACGTAGAACGTAATTACGTCACTAAAACGTTAAGGTCACCTCGTCGAGTAGATTCTGGAACGCAATTTGGCTAAATCTACGCATGCACAGAACGTAGGACGCCAGGTAGGACGTTCACGCATGAGTGATTCGGTTCTAGCGTCGCGTCGTCGCACAAATCGAAAGCTCCTATTAACAGTCTGGGTGACAGCGGTAAAAATTCAATCAAAATATTGACAAATACCAATGAGCTATATAGTCTATGACGTAACATAAAACGAATAGACCTTTCCGGGGTGTCAAACAACAAGTGACCAATTAAAACACAGCTAGCCAGGAATACGCGCATGTCCAACGAACACACGTGTTACCCCACAAACGTACGTGTTCACGTACATTACTTAGCAACAATATCGAAGGGGCGGGACTTAGCGAAAAGGTCCATTGTTTTGGGTAGTTGCTAAATACCACGTGGCTGTGTGAAAGTGACGATGACAAGGCTATATTAATTATTGTTTGACAGTCACTAAAGGAAGCCACGCCTCCCTCGGTTGAAGACGAGGTATTTAGCAACGAACTTTTGAGAATGTTTAAATGCATCTGTTTTAGGATACTCAACGATGCCATATAATGCACTCGTGTGTATCTGTGTATTCCAATCGAATGATATCGTCTTTAACGTGACAGTATTATCAGTTTATAGGCCTATGCATAAATATTCACGAGCGTATAAAGTTTAGTGGACAATCTTGTGGTACAGGAACGATATACCAAGATGTTTATATTTAAAAGAGGCATAGAATAATGAAGCAAAATTAAAATCATCAAAACCATAATAATGAACATTCTTTCTATCTGTCCAATAGACTGGGATGGGGGAGGGGTTTATTTATGTAATAGTAGGCATCTGACCATTTTACAGACATAAAGCTCGGTGTATTAAGATATTTTCTCTTTCTTTGACAGCAAAATAAGTAAATTTAGATAGAGCATTAGTTAAATTGTATTTGAGAAAGTAAACAAAATTTATTAGTAGACAGATTGATAAGGTAAAAAGGGGGCTTGTACACTTTTCTGAGGTCTGGTTTATTGGACATCTTAATACAAAATGGAATTCGTCTTCAACTAAATTTTCGTTACAGATTTTGCATGTGCATTCCTGTTGCGTTCTGTAGTCAGTTTAAACGAATTCAAAAAGGATTAGTTAATTATTATACGCTTCGAGATGTGCGGTTGTTCTTTACCAAGTGCAATGTTGAAGGCATAAAGGACGGTGTGTCAAGTAAACAGTCCGGGCCTACGCTCTGTCGGATACGTTCTGAAGTACTGTATGCTCCTTTAGTGAAATATCATGAATCGTAATTGCGTTTGAACGAGAGAGTCTACATTACAATTTACATAGCCTACTAAAAACATTATTTAAGACAACATGCTTTAGTTTGTTGCCGATATGTGGTTATTAGACGTTGGTAATATACTACTATGTATAATGCCCCTCAAGAAAAAAAGATATTTCTCCTAGCCTGTCAAAGCGTTAGGATATAATAGTTTAATATAAAGATTTATGATTTATTATTTAGCATTGGCATTTACAATTTCAAGAATCTATGAATGTAAGGCGTATAATGTTGATCGCGTTTTTTTTTTTATAGTAAATTTTCTTCTAAATCGCGGCCGGGGGCGCTGTCCTACGCTTTGCTAATAAACGTGTCAAATAGGTTCCATAAAACAAGATTTTATGTAGAATTGAAAAGACACATATTCAAAACTCAAGAAAATGGTAACTAGTGTTGTACATATTTAGAGAAGAGCGAGCAATAATAATAATAATAATAATAATAATAATAATAATAATAATAATGATAATAATAATAATAGTAGGCCCTAATAATAATAATAATAATAATAATAATAATAATAATAATAGTAGGCCCTAATAATAATAATAATAATAATAATAATAATGCATACAATCCATCAGTTACTTATTTACATGTAGGCCTATTTTTTTTAGATAAAATATTAAACAACAATAATGGTGATGATGATGATCATGATGATAATGATGATAATAATAATAATAATAATAATAATAATAATAATAATAATAAATAGGCTTATATTAATAAGAATATTAATAATAATATTATTAATATTATTATTAATAATAATAATAATAATAATAATAATAATAATAATAATAATAATAATAATAATGAGAATGGATGATAACAATGAAGGATGATAATGATGAAAATATAACAACTTCCACAGCTTTGTACATTCTGCCCAACCGCTATGGTAGATGCGGCTTTGATTTTACCTTTGTTTCAATATTTTTAGCCTTAAGTAAATGTGAAATTATCAAAAAATTGAGGTTAATTATGGTAGAAGTTTTAGTTAAGAGTGTTTTAAATACGATCTCAGAATCTACACCTACGTGATGGATCAACTCTCATCAATGCCTTCATAATACACTTGCTACATATATTCCAGTTCATATTCCAAATAAGCTTATATGAATGTTAGTCTGGCTGAACTCAACGGCTTTCTGTGGTTTGTGGTAAAGGATAACTCTTCAGTGTAAATACTTTTAGATAATTATAAGGACATTCGCTGACCACAACTACAATTTGTGGTATACAAAGTTAAACAAGTAGGAGTTTATTGTATTGCAGTCAATCTGATACTGACACCGACTCTACCGGGACGAGCAATAAACGAGCCACCATCCACTTAAACTCGATACATCTATAATATAATAGATTTGCTGTGTGCGCGATCATTGGCGGATCCAGTCATGGAGGGAGAAGGGAGAATAGGGTAGCTAGCTACCCCCTATCTTTCATTTGAAAAATCCTCAGATATAGCCCTCCGTGACCAAATACAAAGTAACCTTTGTTTTTTTTTAGGCCTACATAGGCCTATACTTTGTATTTTTTTCTTAAACATAGGTCTACGCCATATATTCAATTCCCATTCCACACACATTCAATCAAACCATTGAACTACACATTTTCAAGCATTTATAATTTACAAGTGATTAACTTTCATTAAAAACACAAGTTAGTTTTTATACTTTTTGCTACGATAATTTAAATGGTTTGAAAGACAACGGCTGAAGTTACAACATGACCAATAATTAAAAATTTAATAACGGTTTAACTATTTAATGTTTTATTATTTGAATTATTATTATTAGTTCAGCACCACAAACAGTATGTATAAGTTCTACTGTTTTCTCTACTCTCTCCGTTCCACGCGCCTCAGGATATTGGTTAAGTAACAATTATTGTTGTGTCTTCTTAATAATGTGACCATTATAAGTATTTTTTTTATAATAATAATAATAATAATAATAATAATAATAGGCCCTAATAATAATAATAATAATAATAATAATAATAATAATAATAATAATAATGCATACAATCCATCAGTTACTTACTTACATGTAGGCCTATTTTTTTTAGATAAAATATTAAACAACAATAATGGTGATGATGATGATGATGATAATGATGATAATAATAATAATAATAATAATAATAATAATAATAATAATAATAATAATAATAATAATAATAATAAATAGGCTAATATTAATAATAATAATAATAATAATATTAATAATAATAATAATAATTATTATTATTATAATAATAATGAGAATGGATGATAACAATGAAGGATGATAATGATGAAAATATAACAACCTCCACAGCTTTGTACATTCTGCCCAACCGCTATGGTAGATGCGGCTTTGATTTTACCTTTGTTTCAATATTTTTAGCCTTAAGTAAATGTGAAATTATCAAAAAATTGAGGTTAATTATGGTAGAAGTTTTAGTTAAGAGTGTTTTAAATACGATCTGAGAATCTACACCTACGTGATGGATCAACTCTCATCAATGCCTTCATAATACACTTGCTACATATTCCGTCTTTATGAAAGCTTAATGTCGTTTAGTATTACGTTTTGTATTAAAGTAAATGCTCGAATAAGCGCCGCTCTCGAATAACCGCCGCACCAAACCTGATTTTTTTTCGCTAAGCGCCGCTCTCGAATAAGCGCCGTGGCGCTTAATCGAGAGTACAGTATTGCCTTGTGTGTAAAGAAAGACTTTGAGAAACAGGGTTTTAAATACAAGGTATACAGTGTTAAAATGAATAAATAGGCCCTAACACAATGAAGACACAACCATTTCTTTATAAATGTTTATTTACGATGACGTAGAACCTATGATATGCCTAGGCCTACTGAACTACGGGAATACGTGAGATTGGTAACATGGGAACGGGCATGGAAAGCACAACGCCAATAAGCGCCGCTCTCAAGTAAGCGCCGCACTAAATAAGGATAGGTTTATTGTCGATGCAAGCAGCGTTTTGTAGAAGGCGGGTAAATTAACCGACCTTCCACCGTTGATTAAGTAATACACATCTAGATGTGTATAAGAGACAGTATATATATATATATATATAGCTAAATAAGCCTTCACTATCATTTGAAACATAGGCCTATAGTGTCTACAAGTATTCTTCCAATCATCACGTGACCAAACAGATACAAGAATAAGTGAATACGGACTCTAATTGATGACACGATTTCTGACTAATTTGTGGATAGCAGACAATGCATTAGCGTGATTGGAAGATAATACGCCATTCAACGCCATTTTGAACGATCGCCGGATTCTTTCAACGCAATTTTGTCAACAAGGGCACGATATGTTTGTTTCCTGTGACTATTTATCGACTCTTGAATTAATAGCGAACACTAAACATAATTTGTTCTCCTTTACTAATATTTCATATTATATTATATAGTCATAGGGCCTATCACCTGAAAATAAAAAAGTGTCTAACGAAGACGGACTGCTCAATACCAAATCAAAAAGTGTTTTTTTTTTCTTTTTTTCCCCTTTTTTTATGTATATCACTTTTTCCAATCAATTAGATATGTTAAGTGGTACTTTGAAATGACTGTGGCGAATGAGTTTTTTTACTTGTTACCATTCACAGAGAAAAGTGCTGTTGAGGATGTTTATATCTCTGATTTTAATGTGAAATTCTAATGCATATACAGGGGATGAATTCTATCACGCCTGACTAACTATCACTATCTAACTATCACGTTAAAGCATGGGACTGTCTTTATAAGGATAATATTGATAATCTACAAGAAGTCCACTCAGTGTTAATTGCTGTTTGCACTTACACTAGTAACAGCAAACAGTTCTAAGGGTCATGCGAAATTAATGTCTGATCTAATCAAACATAGGTACACCGATGAAGCTTCTGAGTCCTAATGGTCACTTAAACAAATTGGATAAAATATACGCCTGTATGTGTCTAGATTTAAGTTCACTTTAGTAACACGCAACCACACACTAGAAGATTCTGTTCCTCAATTTCGCGTGTTAATATTTAGTATCTATCGAGGGATTTTTGTGTTTTCCCTTGTATCTCATGCTATGCTGCCTAATGTAATATCGGAAGAAATTTTACTCGTTATTAGGGGCGGGTCACGTCGCCGTTAGCTTTCGTGCGCGCCAGACATCAATCACCGATTTAGAAGGAATATGTTGTTTATAGAAAAAGCTATATTGCTGATGGGTTATAGAACGGCATAGCTCATGTGGTCAAAACTTGTTATTCTCGCATAATCAATGCACAGTTGATGTCGATGGCTCAATTTCAACCACTGATCCCTCTCAAAGTGTTTAAAGCAATGCAAAGTGTGTTAGCACTCTGAATGTTTGCAGTGGAAACTTCTCCTCATCACACAGCGTAGGTCTATGGCTAGCTATCTAGGCCTACCATGTATCATTACCTCAACGAATATTGTATTAATTACCATTAGATAATGAGTAACTATAGCGCAGTGCATGGCGTACATACC